GCTTACTATACTACTCTGCCTTTATCAGATCTCTTTTCCATAGAAGTGGATGTGAGATCACAAAGTGTTGGTGCCAGCTGCAGGGTGCTACTGGGTACACTTAGATAAGAGCTAATATATCTGGATTTATGCTTCTAATGCTGTCTGACTAGTTGTGCCAGATGTTCTAGCTTAATTTGATCTCTTTCTGCATTGTTAAAGCCCACAGTGTGGGCTTTGAAAATGGATCAAATCAGAACCTGTGCCTCCCCAGTTCGTTTCCTCATTGGTCTATGTCAGTAATTATGGGGAATCAAACCCTAGCTCAGATGTGTTTCCGTTTCTCCCAGCTATGGTGTATTTCTGCTTCCCATGATTGGGCTTATGACCAACAGTTCCTTTTTAATCTCTTCCTTTTTCCTGTCTATTAAATAAATTACATGTTCACATTTCCTAGGAATAACAAGTGTTTGCCAGTTATATACACACAGTGAGATGGGCCATCGTGTTCACAGAGGTAGCCATATCTAAAACACAGCAATATTATATGCTACAGCTATACACAGATATTAAGGATTCTGAACATCTTCATATCAAACTCTCAGCTGGGGATCCTGGATCTTCTGGGAAAGGGGTAAAGGAAGAAATATAATCATCATACGTGCAGTTGGGGTATTTTTGTGGAGTCTGCAATTTTGTTTTCTTCTTATCACTGGTTATCCAAAAGGGAAATCTCAAGTCTTGAAATGGGAGAGGAGGATATCAAAGGCCGCTCATCCCCTTGAGGTAAGAAGGAGAGGAAGAGGAGGAGGAGGCTGATGCCATGGACTTTTCAGTGGCCTGGAGGGAACTGCGTAGGGCATCTCCAAGCTGCCCTTTGTGAAAGTGAATCCTTCTCAGTGAGGCGTCACCACATTAAACCCAAATCAGTTTGTCAAATCTGTTCTGATTTGCCGCCAAGCAAGTTGAAATCTTTCGTGTTTTACAGATGAATGCTTTAGGAGTCACCAAATTGGCCGTCAGAATCACAATTACTGTTTACAGTTTTGCACTAAGGTTTTATAGTGAGCAGAATGTCCTGTTTCTCGATAAGAGCTGCTTGCAAAAACTGTATGTGCAGCTGAATCTTGCTGCTCAGACAAGAATTTGTGGCTCTGCGGTGTGAGTGTGTAATACTGTGATTGAAAACAGCAACCTGAACAAACACTGCAGTAACGTGTCAAAAACATTTTTCTTTTTTTAAGACAGGAATATAATGAGAATTTAGATCTGGGATGTGTCTGTGGGAACACCTAGCCACATAAGAATTAAAGAGTGCATGTTCTAGATCAAAGCAGCCTGTAGTTTGTATTACTTCTAATTATTGTACCATTCTCTTTTATTAAATTCATTTGTTTTAATTAGCAGAATAGATAATTTGCATCAGAGTTTAAGAGGTCTATTGGACACTTGAGATTAAATCAATGATTTGTTAACAATTTTATCTGGGAAGTAGATTAGATTATTTAAATTATGTGAAATAGCACCAATTTTCTTTTCTCAGCGGAATAAAATTATGATTAAGAAATAATGCTTGGAGCATGAGAGCTCTGCTCATCATTATTTTGAACATGCAGATGTGGGACTTTACAGTAAAATTATCCATCTTTAATTTGTTTTTCTAATATTATATAAAATTTGACAAAATCAAACAAGTGGTGTTTAATGGCAAATGATTTCCAGCAACAGTATGGGAAACTCTGGTGTTTGCTTCTTGACTCAATACAACTGAATTTTAGATTTTTGATTTGGATTTGTGGTCTTGGAGCAAAAAGTCTTATTAATCAGTTCATAAAACAGTAGGATTAAAAAGAATGTACCGGAGGTGTAAAACAGTCGACACGAAGAGATTTTAAAATTAGCTTAATAAATAAATCATAATTGGATAAAATAGGTGAGTAATGAGTTCAGAGCGGCCCAAATGTGCAATTTCTCAAGCTCAGTGGCAGCATGGCAGCTCGCACCACAGCTGGGCAAAGCCTGGAGGGTGCGTGGCAGGGGGCTGCAATGTTGCATTAGCTGCACTTTGCCATCGAGGTGTCTCAGTTGGTCCCTCTCACAGCAGTGCTTTTAAGCGATGCGGAAGAAGCTGAGCTAACTCGCAAGATGCATGCCAACTGCTGCGTTTGCTTTTGATTTTTCTTCCTCTTGAGATGGGGTAAAGGAAATGTCCTTCATTGCAGCAAGAAGCCAGGAAGGGAGGCAGGTCCCTGCGGCTCTGACTCTCTGTGGGTGTGTGTGGGACACCCACTGGCAAGTGCTGTCCCCCAGAGCCCTGCTGCCCTGCCCATCCACGACCCTGCAGGGCTGGGAGCTGAAGCCATTGCAGCCTTATCACTGATCAATATGTCCAGCATAACGTTGCGCTTTCTGAGGTTAATAGATAACAATACCCTTTCCCTACCAGCAAACATTAATCAATTACTGAGGGCAGATCTTCAGATCTGCACCACAATGAGAGTCACATAATCGGGTGAAAAAAAAGATAGATACACACAATTAAACGCGCACATGCAGGCACACAGTGTCATCTGTCCTCTATTCTGAATGCGCAGCAGTGCTGGGTGCTAAAATTTGCAATGAATTATTTATACGATGAATTAGCCCTCTTCTCTGCTTCTAGAATATCCAATTGCAGGTTTCCATTTTGGTTCCAGAAAGATTTATTATTCAGATTTATTCATGGGACAGATTATTAAACATTTCCTCCCCTTTTCCCTCTGTAATGCATAACATACATCTTGTTTCTGGTAGCACCTCTCTGCTCAGGCAGGGGCTCCCAGCATGGAGAAACAGCACACAACACAGAGAATTTGCTGCCTTTCTTGTGAACCAATTACAGATGTTCCAAATTTGGGATATTGGTTTGCTCACTTAAGTCGAAACAGTTTCAGTCCCTAAGTAAATGAACCACGGCTGCATGAAAGATCACAGCTAGATATGAGTGAGTGATTTGGCTCTCATCACTATTTTGACATTCGGTTTTGTGCTCATTCTTTTTTCCTGGTAAAACTCCATTCTTCGGAATTCTTTGATAGATGGAAAAGAGAAGCCAATGGCTGAAGTCATCTGCTCAGAAGTTTCCTGTTCTCCTTCCCCTGGAGTGTCTCAGTTTTGCTGCCTTGGCACAAGAAGCTGCCCTTTACCACCTTCCCTCTTGCTATGGGCGCTGTGAGCTGCTCAGCCTGCTGGTGGCTGCTCGCACAGAAGCCCGAGCTCGGGGCTCTGCACTAAGTGTAAGTCTCCCCTGTGCTTTGACAGTGCCCATGACAGCCAAGTGGATTCAAGTGGAAATCGCCAGCTTTCTTTCAAATACCCCTGGCTGCCTTAGTACCTCCCAGACTGCTCCCCTGGCTCAGCGTGGTTCTCAGCCATGCCCTAAATCCCAGCAGGGACCTACACTTCTGACAGAGATTAATCTGTAGCATCCAAGCACGAGTGACCCACACACAGAAGCGTTGCTGCTTGCATGGCTCGGTAAATAACATTAAGGGGATGTGGTTCTGCTTGTACTGAAATCACATGCAGCAGTATCCTGTAAGAACAATAGCACTAAAGCTGTCCTCAGGTTAGAAATAATCTGTGTGCCTGTGTGCAAAGTGCACGCTCTCACGAGCTCTTGGCTGGGCAGCAATATTTTACCTCTAATGACCTCACGCCAGAGCCAGCCATTTTTGCTGGCTTTCCAGAGCAATATTTTGCCACGAGGTGACCCTAAATGTAAACACATCCCCTAAACCAAGTGCAGAACTCCCCACTGGCTCCTACATGTTACGAAGGCTTGGGAAAAGGCTAATTTCCCTTGTTTTTCTTCACTAATTTGGACTTATTTCGTTAGTTTCTCGCATTTGATATCGAGTGCCTGCGTCTTCTGCAGGAGAGGAGAAACGTGCCGTGAGCAGAGCTTTTGTTTGTACTTCTTCCCGAAGTGTTGCAGTTGGAGGCAAGCATTCCTCTTGGAAGGAAGAAGCAGGGATGCTGCATGCGAGCACCAGGTATTTGTAAGTTCTCCCCTGATACGATTCTAAACTTCCACATCTTTCCTCTCTGCCCCATGCTCCTACCCTCGAACCTGTTTGAAAATGAGGAATACTGTTGCACAATGTGTAGAAATAGGGGCATGAGAACAGAACAATGTCTGAACTTGGCTGCCGTGGGGTTCTTTCTCTTGATTCTGGGCTTCTTTGGGTAAGCTTATATTTCGAGCAGTCTGTCTGGCAGTGTTTGCCGTGTTGTGGCGAGAAACTGCCGCTCCGTACTGGAAGAAGCAGCGCCGATGGCCCTCAGCAGCTCCGGGCAGCTGCGTGTCCGCAGACGGGAGCTCTTCTGGGCTCTTTGCCTTCGCAAAGCGAAGCTGATTGCTGCCTACAGCCGAGGGCAATTTGTGTCCCTTCCCCAGGGTATTGCTGTCAGTTTTGCTCAGCAGTTTTGCTGGGGAAAAGGAGGTTTTATTTTATTTTTGCCCTCGAGGTCTCCGGAAGATAGGATGTGGCGTGCAGGGAGGGAACGGGTACTTCCAGGAGAATTGCCGAGCGGCTGCTGTCGGTGATCACTTGTTTAATGCTTGTGGAGCGCTTGACATCTTTATGAGTTATGTGCCAAAACCAGAAACAGAAAGAGGCTGGCTCCCCGATGACAAATACTTTCTACCTTTTCGTCGCAGGTAAGGGTAGAAACATCTGTCACTGCCCAAACCCGAGAGCCGCTTCCGAGAGAAACGTGGCGAGGAAGAAGGTGAGGGACAGCATACATTACGCTGTCCGCAGAGCTGCAGGAGCCGCGATAAGCCCCATCCATTGCCCTCTCCCCGCCGGGACGCCGCTGCCCCGTGGCCGCCGGGGAACAGCCCGGACCCATCCCGCTGCATACAGCCATTCCCGCGCCCCCCCTCTCCCCCGGGGGCCGGGGCTCCCGGTACCGCCCCTCGGCCCGGAGCGGCGCGGCGGGGCGGGGCGGCCGCGGGGCTCCCCTGCCGCCCGCCCCGGCGGCAGCAGCGAGACACGCCGGGCGCCGCCGGTCCGCGCCCTCCGCGCCCCAAACTTTGCCCTCCGCTCCCCCCTCTTACCGCCGGCTCTGGCACCCCCTTTTAAGTGTTAGGGGTTTTTTTTTTGGTTTTTTTTTTTTTTTTTTTTCCTCGCAGGAGGGGTGGGAGGGGAAGGGGCTATAAAGCGCGGAGGGACGGGCAGGACGCAGTCCCCGCTGCAGCCCGTCCCTGCCAGAGAGGGGGTTCGCCAAACACCTCCCCCCCTCTCGAAAAAGCCGGGCCCCGAGGGAGCTCCGTGACGGGACGCAGCAAGGTAAGGCACCGGCACCGGCCACCGGGAGGGAAGGAGGGAGCACCGATCGCCGGCCCCGCCGCCGGCCCCGCCGCCCTCGGCTCCTCCGGGCTCTGCCGCCCTCCCCGCCCGCTGCCAGCCCGGTGCCGCTGCAGCCCCGCCGGGCGGAGCGCATCGGGAGCGCGGCGTTGGAGCGAAAAAGGGAGTTGGGAGGGAACAAAAAAAAGTGACGACCGAAAAAAGTGAGCGCTGGGATGTAAGCTCGAGGATTTGCGTGGATTGCGTTTTTATTTCGGCAGCGCCCAGACAATAGCTACAAAGCGTCGTTTAATCACTTGCAGATACCATTTTGATGCTTCAAACCCCTAAAGCCCGGCACGGCTCCGTGCTCTCTCCGTGTCCCGCTCCCGCCGCCTCCGAGGGGCTCCCGAGCGTCCGCTGCCTCCCCACGAGGGCTTCGTTGTAACACTGCAGGGTATCGCTGCTGTGCGGCGGCCGGGGGAGGGAGCAGTCCCAGCCCGCGTCCCGCTGGCAGGCAGAGCGGGTGGTACTGGGCGAGCAGCCGGGCAGCGCGCTGCCGTTCTGCACTGGGCTGCACTGTAGCACCGCTCAGGACTTCGTGGCGCGGTTTGTGTTAGGAGGAGCCGGCGGAATTATGCGTATGTAAAAGAAGCGTGAGGTGTGGGGTTGAAGTTTTCCCTACCCCAAGTGATTTGTGTGCTCGCAGGGCCCGGCTGGCTGGGGCATAGCCCGGTTCCCACGAGGATAGTGCAGGAGTGTGGGACGTGGGCGGCCCGCACCGCGCTGCGAGGAAGCGGGGAGACAGCTCAGAGGGTCCGGTTTGCCTGCTAGGAACTCGCTGCTCCCAGCTTTCAGAAAAATGGCATTTTGCAGCACTCCTCATCAGGAGTCGAGTCCTGTGCTGCTGCCACGCAGCAATCAGAGCTGTGGGAGAGGGCTGCCTCCTGCACCACCAAACTCTGGAGCACGTAGTGGTGTGGTCAGGATTCAAAACTTCTTCCTGTTGAAGAAGGAGAGAGCTTTTAAAAGCAGATTTTATGTACTATTTTCAACATTACCAATCAGAAGTGCTGTTTTGCATGTCCCGCACATACTGTGCGGGTGTATTTGGGATCCCACAGTTGCAATTCCTCCCCCATTATCAGCTCCTCGCAGGCTGGATCTCGCCTCTCACAGATGAGAAGCCCCTCTGAATTTAAGAGACCTTTGTAATGCTGCCGATAAAACCTTTCCCACTGCAGCCCAGCCAAACCCTCCCGCTCCCAACATCCCTGTGGCACCTGGCAGCCAGCAGCCTGTGACAAGCACTGGGTGCCACTGGCTCCTGTCACCCCACAGTGCCTCCCCCGCGGAGGTGCCATCGGTCCTGTCATGCAAGGAATGCAGGTCTGGGTGGCAGCAGGCGTGATGTGCCGGGCAGTCCTACGCCACGTGGAATCCCAAGCAATTACTTGCCTGAGCGACCCCGCTGAAATTAATAGGGCCTCTTTTTTTAATTGGAGCCGGCTTTGCGCTGGGATCACCCTGCAGGACTGTTGTGTTGCGGATTGCTCCTTTGGAAGCACAGAGGAGAAGCATTTCACGTTCCTCAGTGTTTATAAATACAATATGGTGCGAGCTGTCAAGCAAGCTGCTCCGAATCACGCAACGCCTGCGCCCTGCCGGGCTCCACGGCCTGTGCAAGGCCTCGCTCTGTGTCTGACAATCAGTGCTGCCCTGCAGCCCTGCTCAGTTCAGCCCGGCCCATTGGCCACAGTTGGTGGGACTCATGCTCTCAGCAGAAAGCTCATCCCAGTCTTGGGGGGGTCTTGGGCCTGGAACGAGGAGATCAGGGCCTCTGGAGTGTGAAGGCTCTGTGGGGCACGGGGGCTGCCTGTCTCCATGGTGTGCCAGGGTTGCCAGTAGGCAGGATGAGATGTTTATTAAACTCAGCCCCTGCTTTGTCTTCTGCGATTTATGTTCCGAAAGGCTCGTAATAAACAGTTTATTAAAGAGAAACCCTGATTTATTTCTGCAAGTGGTTACACCTTGAGGTGGTATCAAACAGTTTTGCAGGAGACCGGCTTGTATGCTTCCTCTGGCAGTTTCAAAGATTGCTAGGAAAATAACCCAGAGCCTACGTGGGTTTGGACAAAGCCAGCCACAATCAGATGTCAGGGTGCATGGGGCTGTCCTGCGGTGGGGCAGTGCGTTCTGTTGCAGAACATCTGTGCACAGGCACAGGTTATGGTATGGCTTTCAGGGATAGCACGTCGTGTTTGGTCTCGTCTCTGTCTTGAAGTCACTAAACTTTATGTGAATAATAAAACCGTAAGCCCATTACTTCACTATTTTCAGGGGGCTATTTTATGGCCTTCTTCGGTATCTTGCCTCTTTCTAGAGCTGGTTTTATTTTGTGTGCTGAGTATTTGTCTTTTCACTCTCCAACTTTTTCTATTTTCATTTCTGCGGGAGGCAATTTGCTCATTCATGCCGACAGACACCCTCTGGGTGCCAGCTCTCTGTGCAACCCCGCTGCATATTTTCTGCATTGTAGGTCTAATGAGGGCTGCACACCTCTCATTCAGCCCACTCAGACATTCAGCCCATGTCATTAGTGTGGGGCACTATGGAGCTGCTGCCATTCGGCCACTAATAACGTGACAGCAGAGCTTGGCTCTCTTTTTTCTGCTTGCTTATAAGCTGTAGAGATGAAGGGAATGGGGCTCAACAGGAGCACACAGAGAGCCCTAAGCGTGATGTTTCCAGCCAGTACAGTGCTGTGAGGCACTGCACTTTGCTGTCTATTGGGGCATGGTTCTGTGGAATGAAGGGGAAGGAGAAAACCGAGTTATGTCCAAGCGATGCAAATTTTTGGGGTATGACTCGAGTTGTGCTGGAGCTCTGTCATGGAGAAGTGAGCATCCTCCTGGAGAAAAGGCAAAAGCCCCACAGAAACTATCCCCAAACTTTGTTTTGCATTGTGACTGAGAATACATTGCTTCCATGGCAGAAATCCTTGTTAGGTCCAGCAGCGATCGTGTCTGTCCAAGAAAACTGCTCCACGGAGTTAATGCTGCTGAGAGAAGCTGGAGGGTCAGGAGAGGTTGCGGCTGAAAATTTCAGTGAGGTGTCATCAGGAGAGGAAGCATTTGCCTTTCAATCGAGAAAAGGGTCAGGAAAATAAATCTGAACTCCGAGAGAGCGTGTCTGAAGGCAGAGGTAAATTAAGAAGAACCGGGATGGTAAATATTAAAAACAAGTTTTCTCCTTCAGAATTCATTTTCTGATGTGCAGCATACAGAGACAGCTGCTATGCTGACGAGAGCTGAACGTGAGCACTGAGCTGTGACAGGGGCTGCCAGAAAATCCGCACGGATGGCTTTCGGCAGGGCATGGCAGTCTGTGCAAGATGGCTAATGTTGTGACTCCAGCCTAAAATGTGTTGGTTTTACTGGGCTGGTCTGGGAACTGTGCTTATCCTGTGAGTGCTGTGCAAGCAGGCAGCAGGCAAAGTGCTCTGAATGCCCAGGTCTGCCAGTCCAGAAAGTGTCTGTGCTGTTGGGCTGTTAGAGGGATGCACTCATGGGATGCTCAAGGGCATGTGGGGCTGGCTGTTCTTGGGACGTGGAGCTGTATGGCTGCTCTGCCTGTGGGCTAATTAAACCGTATCATGGGAGAGACGTTTGCTGATTGTGTGACAGCTGAGATAAGGAGCCATGGTCCTTGCTGAGAGCACCTGGAAGGCGAGAAGCAATAATTTCTCCTTCCCATGTCATTCCCTACTCTGCAGGTCCGGATATGAGTGCCCCTCCATATGACCCCTGCGCGCCCACGAGGTGACACACCACGAGAGCTGCGCTTCCGCTGCAACTTACAGGGGGAGAGCATTGTGCACCTAATTAAGTGAAGTGCATTGGTACCTGGCTTTTTTTTTAAATTATTTTTATTTTTATTTAAGGAAAGGTAGTGTTAGAGGGGTTGTAACTTTATTAGGGTGAGAAGAATGATACTTTGCAGATTTCTCACTTCTACCCTTGTCAGTGCCAAAGCACTTCTGCCACAGAGCCTGGTGATGAGAATTGCGGGTTTGGATTACAGAGATTGGGCAGAGTGATGTCCTGGGTGCTGCCTTTTTTTTTAGGGTACGTGGGGAAGCAGCGTTCCTGCTGCTCCTTGTGCTGTTATAGCTGCAGTCAGTTCTCTGTGAGCTTTACCCCCTGAGTAATACTTCACTTGAATATGATTTGTAGGGCTAATAGGATCTCCTTCTTTGGGGAAGACCCTAGGGGCTCTCTCTGACTGATTTTTTCAGTAATGAAGAATAATCATTTAAAACTTACCATTTTGCAGGGAAGATTTAATGTCAGTCCATTAAAACTTTTTAAGACCATTAGAGCACAATTGTTGAAATAATACGTCCTGTGAAAAATAAGCAGTTTCTAAGACCGTTTCACACCATGTGAACAAAGCAGAGCTCGAGTTTAAAGTCCTCTAACTTACAGTTTGAACTGAGCAAGAATAAACATTTTAAAGCAAGATGCAAACACTCCTTGCAGGCACATGGAACAGGGCTGCAGGCTCAAGGTGGGAGCTGTGCTGCCTTAATTCATGGTGCACACTCCCATCCTCACTCACTTAAGAAAAAGCATTTGCAGGGCTATAAGAAAATGCCTACAGTTAGCACTTCAATTCCAGATGCATTCTGTTCCTTCTTTCTCCTATTCTTTCCCGCCAGGCGAGGAGGGACGCTGACCCCAACAGGGTCTGAGGGCCAGTGTCTGTTTGGACGTCTGCTCATCCGTGGCAGCCTGGCCTGCCACGTGCTCCCTGGGCGGTGGTGGGATGAAGGGCCAGCCTTTGGCCTGCCGGCTGCACAAACAGCCTCTGCTGAGCTGGGACGTGGGACTGAGGCCTGCCTATCAGTAAGCTGTTCCCAAAACCCTGCATCACAGCTCTGCAGCTGACCCAGGTGGGGCCGTGGTGGTAATGAAGCAGGGTGCAGGGATCTCTGGGAGCCA